CTGGACTTAATTAAATCACTAACTTGAAACTCTCAACAAAGCTAGCATTTAGGAAGACAAAGAGTTGTGCTCTATGGAAGGATTTATGGTAAGAAATTTGCTTAAGTACTAAGCAATTCTTTACCACTGCAAAAAGCATTTGAGATTGTGTTAAAGTCACCTTCCTCAAGTCTTCAAAATGATTTCAGAGTTTGTGCTTATTACAACTACAGGTTCACTCTAGGGTAGGGAGGCAGCTGTGTCTTAAAATCTTTCCACAGGGCACTATAGCTGAGGAGCTTAAATGCTCAGACATTGGGCATTCCCAGGGCACGAAACGCTGGTAATAGGAACATGCCTAAGAAATATCATCAGGTGTGTGTGTGTGTGTGTGTGTGTGTGTGTGTGTGTGTGTGTGTATGTGTGTGAATACTAATTAGAGGTAATTTAGTTTTAGAAACAACAGTTTGCTGATGTGTTCCAGTAAGATGATCGATGGCACTGACTAGATTTTGAAAGGATCCTTAAGGAAGATTAAAGTTCCGTAACAATAAACTGGATAAACCAAAATAGAATCTTTTGGAAAATTTACTATTATAGACTGAAATGTCTCTGCATCTTTCCCTCGCAAAGACCTGGGATCTTGACTGTGATGTTCATTATTATCTATGTATATGTGTGAGGTGTGCGTATGCTGAATGTGCATGCCCATGCTCACACATGCAGAGGCCAGATAGAGATATAAGGTGTTCCTCTTGTCTTATAGTCTTGAGACAGGGTCTCTGGCTATCGCCAAATCTCCCCAATACAGCTGTGCTGACCAGCAATTGAGCTCTCAGAATCTGCTTGTCTTCACCTACCATTGTTGGGGTTACAGACACAAGCAGTTACGTCTGTTTTTTTTTTTTTTTTCCAATGTGGGTGCTAGGACTTGACCTCACCTCCTTATGCTTATCCAGCACATTTACCTACTCTATCTCCTCAGCCCCTTTGACTATAGATAGTATTGTAATGAATGACCCATTGGCCTGCTTTCAAAAAATGTTTGAGTCACAGACACTTTCACTTATGGATTTATAATACACATTGATGTTCATTGCAAGTACACCTCTACTAAGAAAACAAGGCTAGGCTGCTCATGTTTAAAAAACAATTGCTTGTTAAGAGAAAATTGTAGGGCCCTGGTCTCCTCCCATATTGAGTAAAGCCATTGCCTGCTTGCCGACCTTGACCAGATGTCCTCCCTATGCTAATTCCCTGCCCGTATCCACCCTCCTGAATGCTTTAGGGAAATTCCTTGTTTGTATATCCTGCATATTGGGGTTAACAGCTTAGATGCAAGATTGTAAACATCAATAGCGAACTTCTGCCCTCTGGGGTTCTCTCATTGTGCTGTAAGCCTCTATTTAAGGTTTCCTCCCTCTTTCAATAAACGGCATTCTGCATTCTGCTGAGGCGAACGACCCGCTGTCTTTTGTCTCTGTTTTTGGATCCACAGCCCCTCGTTCGGACATGGTGAACGGGTGGTGGTAGCGCGGGCGTTATCGTTACAGAAAATAATTTTCACTGGTAGCCTACCACCAGTACAAAAAATTCTAAGGATTTCTTTGTGGGTACAACTTCCACCACCGTGTCTTATGTGTTTTCTAAAGGAGAGAGAACCTGGGAATTGATGTATTTTGCCACAAGCTAGTAGAGTGAGAGTCTCCATTTTCTTCACTAAAGATCTCCTCTAAAGAATGAGTTAAAGCCAGCTGTAATAGGGGTCTAGAGAAAAACAGACAAGTACATTGGGGTATGGTTAAGGAACTAGTTCACTTTGGCGGCTGGCAAGTACTAATTTGTAGGGCAGGCAAGCAGTATGGAGAGTCAAGGTAGAGCTGACAGTCTAGCCAGGCTGATGGCTGTCCAGGTGCAGGATTCTCTTACTTGAGAGAGTTCACTTTTTTTTTCTTTGCCTTTGAATGATTAGAAGAGGACCACCAAAATCATAAAGTGTAATTTGTCTCATGCAAGTCTACTAATTTAAATATTAACTATACCTAGAAAAATATGTTCAAAGGGACATCTAGGCTGGTTGACTAGAGACTGGATACCAAGCCTTGTCAAATTGACTAGTGAGTCATCACCAGGGAGGCTACCTGGAAAACAGGACCCCAAGAAAGACACGGAGATCGCCCAATGTCGGAGAAATGGAAGAGATCTACATGAACAACCTGGACATGAGTGGGGGTAATGAAGGGCGAGGGTCGAGGGAAAGAGAGCTTGGGGGAGCGGGAGATCCCAGCTGGATCAACAACAGAGAGGGAGAACAAGGAATAGGAGACCATGGTAAATGAAGACCACATGAGAATAGGAAGAAGCAAAGTGCTAGAGAGGCCCACAGAAATCCACAAAGATACCCACACAACAGACTGCTGGCATTGGTCGAGAGACAGCCCGAACTGACCTACTCTGGTGATGGGATGGCAAAACACCCTAATTGTCGTGCTAGAAACTTCATCCAACTACTGAGGTATCTGGATACAGAGATCCATGGCTAGGCCCCGGGTGGAGCTCTGGGAGTTCAATTAGCGAGAAAGAGAAGGGTTTATATGAGCGAGAATTGTTGAGACCAAGGTTGGATAAAGCACAGGGACAAATAGCCAAATGAATGGAAACACATGAACTATGAACCAATGGCTGAGGGGTCCCCAACTGGATCAGGCCCTCTGAACGGGTGAGACAGTTGATTGGCTTGATCAGTTTGGGAAGCATCCAGGCAGTGGGACCGGGTCCTGTGCTCATTGCATGAGTTGGCTGTTTGAAACCTGGGGCCTATGCAGGGTCGCTTGGCTCGGCCTGGGAGGAGGGGACTGGACCTGCCTGGACTGAGTCTACCAGGTTGATCTCAGTCCTCGGGGGAGGCTTTGCTCTGGAGGAGGTGGGAATGGGGCGTGGGCTGGGGGGAAGGTGAGGGGGGCGGGAGGGAGAAGAACAAGGGAATCCATGACTGATATGTAGAACTGAATTGTATTGCAAAATAAAAAAAAAAAATTGACTAGTGAGTGACTCTGTGATTTCTTTGTGGAATAGGATACAGATGAAATAAAGATATTTTGATGTTTTTGCTTTAGGGTGAAATTTCAAATACTTAACTATTTTTGCTCTAGGAGGAAAAAAAAGATAGCTCAGAATGGTTCCAAACAATGTCTGAACTTTGGCTTCAGTCAAGACACTGCCTCTGCTTGCCTTGGATAGTTCACCAGGAAACATGGTTCTCCTTTTAATGGAGCTGAGTTCCAGGATTTGGTGAAGGAGTGAGTGCCCTTGTCCTTAGGGTATGTTTGAGTAAACGTTACTTAAGAAGACCTGGCAGCCTAGCTCAAGCTATACAGCTACATTGAACTTTTCCTTCTCCTGATGAACCATGACTATGAATTTCTCATTCAGCTCCAAAGACTTGGCACAAGAAAACTACAGATCTAATGAAATTTTCATAGAGGAGCTCACACCATAAACAAATTAATTTTAAATGTCCTTTCTCAGAGTATTCTGCTCTTGGGTATTATAAAAAATCAATTTGCCTGTCTAAGCCACCCTTGAAGCAGTTCACATGATCAGATTTACATAGGAATATATCTAGTGTTAATTCTAAGGATTAATGTGGGATACTTTCATACTTGATAAGAGTAAGTGAGAAACAGAATTATAAATATGAGAACCCCTATTTTCTTTACCTGATCAAAGCACATGGAAAATGGCTAGGAGACACAGCATGTCACTTCCATAATTGGTTTCTGGAAAGGTGTTAAATAAATTCGCAGAATTGTCATCTTTACTGGAAGCTGCTTTCTTGGCTACCATGTTTTCAGCTGAAATGATGCACATGGCAACCATTCTGGCTTATTGGAATTGTCAAAGCTTGATTTAGTAAAACCAGTAGTAAATCAACCAACCTCAGAGGAACTTGTTGAAAGATAATTCCTATGACTGGCAATAATGTGCTAGAGGCCAAAGGAGGTTGATGTTTGGTGTCTTAACTCATCCCAACTTCTGAGACAAGATCTCTCACTGAACCTAAAACTCACTGATTGGCTAGAATGAAGGGCCAGTGAGCTCCAGGTATTCTCTTGTCTCTGCCTGACTGCTGGGTCAGGTTCTCCAGTTCGTATAGCACTTTACTGCCTGAGCCCTTGAAGTTTTGACTTTAAAAATAATACTCTCTGCCCTCCCTCTAAAAGCTCAAAAATCTTTTAAAAATATTTTATGAGTATGAATGTTTTGCTCATGTGTGTCTGTACACCACATGTGTGTCTGGTGCCTGTGGAGACCCAAAGAAGGCACTGGATCCCCAGGAACTGGAGTTATAGACAGTTGTGGGCCACTGCATGAGTTCTGGGAATGGAACCTGGTGCTCTGCAAGAAAAGGTAACCTTTACGGCTGAGCCATCTCTCTAGCCTCTCCCAAAGCTTGGAAGTCATACATGTCCTGAAACCTGCCATTTCATTCATAAAACAAATGGCCTTCTGGAGGCTGCAGTTCCAGTCTTATATCGGCAAACCAAAAAAGACGCTTAGTAGTTGTATGGACCCCACAAAATAGAAGATGGGGGTTATTAAAAAACAAAAGGATATGAAGTTGGGAGAGGGTAGGGGATGGTTCTGGGAAGATGAAGGGTAAATATGGTCAAAACAATATGTATGTATATAAATTCTCAAAGAATTAATATTGTCTAAAAACAGTAGAAATGTTACCATAAGGTATCATCTATGGGGATTCGGGAGGATCTGTATTATTTAAAGCATTCTGTACTTCTATTCATATATTCTGTGGAATTCATAAATCCTTTTCTTTACAACAAATCCCACTGCAAGTCATAAGAAGCTGCAGTGATAACTGGCAGTGAGTGAGAATTTACACTTGGGTATCCTGACAAGCAGCAGCCTGCTTCTTTGGATTTGAGTTTCTAAAGTACAGAATCACTGTAGCCTTGACGTGAAGCTACCTTACAGAAGTTACACACACACACACACAAAGATGACCTTTGTCTATATTTTATACAAATACAACAGTAGTTTGTGAATACATTTTAAGGACATGATATACATGATAAGCCACTTGATTTTCCAATATCACAGAATAGCAATTTAAAATGCAATAAAAATATACAAAATTCAGTCTGGAATGCAGATTTTTTTTTTCATTTCTATTTGACTCAAAACTTTACCATTAGAATATTTTTAGAGTACTAGTCCAAACACTTTTACATTAGCTAAGAATAAAATTTCAGCAGTCAGCTTATGTTCAGGCATGATGCAATCAATTTTTCTAATGGATTCCCAGTTTTTGTTAAATTCAAAGGGCTGTTAGTAACTTACAGCATGTTCTTCACTCCACACCCTATGTCAAGCCCACTTTCCATTCTGAGTTACAGTCACCTTGTGGACAAAAGCTGGGTTTGTTCTGGTAACATTTGCAAATCCAAGATCTCCTTTTGCAATCGCACATGAATACATTGTGGTGGTGTAAAAGTTTGTTAATGACAAATTAAGTCACAGTATAAAAATATATTGTACACTTTTACACCTATGTAGTCCTTTTCCTATGGATAAAAAAAAATACAACTGAATGAGACAGAAGTTTGTAGCACCATGAAGAGTTGTATCCCAAGTGACAGTAGCAGCATGATCCCATATAATGTTGAAGGAGGGTTTCTGAGAAGAGAGACATTCATTCTGGTTCATCTGTACCACTGAAGCTTATAACAAAGAAGTGTCTTATACATCAGCAATAATTCTGTGTCATCTGGAGAGCTAGATAACCTATCAAAAGATACTGCTTTCCATCCCCAGGGGCTGCTAACATTGGAGAAAGGCTTACTGGTGATTTGTGCTGTTACTAAGGCTGGTAGCATTATCTTGCATATAATTTCAAAGGAGCGCTCTGTGGGTACAATACAAATTAGGTATTTATGTAGACCTACATAATCAGGATACATTATGTTGTAGACCTGGCTGCTGACAGTGTGAATAAAACAAGACAGACTCACTGAGGGACTTATTAGTCAAAAACAAAAACAAACCAAAACCAGTCTGCCTTCACTAAGGACAAATACTCAACACTGAAAAGATCTCCTCCAATGTCACATGGATCTCAGTAGGCTAGAAGCAACTTGGGTGAACTGGTATCTTTTAACTTACTTATGGACTGGGAAGACAGTGTGCTTTGAGATACGTAAACCTTGTAAAAAAATAAACCATTGTAAAACCATATGAAAAGACACACACTGATTCTGTGCAATATAGCAAATCGATAAGAAAACACTGTAAAAATGTACCTGTTTAAAATACCATCTACCGTTTTTTGTACACAAAGCATTATATATCAAAGACCTACATATATATCATCTAATGGCACTTGAAATGAATATAATAAGTCTTAAAATAAAAGGCATAACCTATAAGAAAGTTTCTGTAAAAGTTTAGGTTCATTTTGAAAGTGCTATATCTTGTAGTATGTGAAGTATAGAGGTTGACCAAGCTCTATTTTTTTAATTGGCCTATATATGTACTGCTCACTAGATGAATGATCCTGAAATATGTACTCTATAACATTCATTATTAGCTTAATAAAGCAATCAGCTCTGGCTCATGTTTCAGTCAGTATATGGTTTTAAAAAACCGTCACTGTCCAAATTAACACAATATATCACTATATTCCACAAATGACTAGAAAAATAAAAGCACAAGCAACAAAGAGGCAAAAACACAAAGCTTGAAAGAAATGCTGACTGAAATAAAAAAGTTGCATACAGAATGGTGCATAATCCACCAAGACAACTTAAGTTCTAGAAATCTGAACTAGGTAATAGGATTTTAAATGAAAGCTTAACAGTGACCAATAACTATAAGGGTGGTATTGGTAAATATCAATGGGTTATAGTGTTTATAGCGCCTCAGTCCTTCCACCGTCAAGCTCCTGCTGCTGCTGATATAGTCTGCACATACATGTGGAAGTCAAACTGAATGACGCTTGCTTGGTATCTTGTCTGAGGTCCAAACTCTACACTAAACTATTTTAGTTAATGTTAATCCCTTTTCTTTCAGCCAATCTAAGGCACTATCAGAAATTCCAAGGATGATGAATCTGGCCACTGGTGAATGAAAACAGCGTTGGTAAGAACTATCCCTAACCATTCCTACTTCAAATAAAAACAAGTGACAGTATTTTCTAGGGGGTAAAAGCCAATTCTGTGTTACATCCTTGTTAAAATTAAAACATTGTGCAATTAAATTAAAAGCTGCCTGATCTTTAATAGAAAATCTATCAAGAAAGGGTTTAGTGACCACTGCAGTCAATTAAAAAAACAAAACAAAACAAAACAAACAAAGAAAAAAAAACCCAACCCAACTTGCTGAATTCCCTCTTACTTTGAAGTGTTATTCAAGTCTTTGGGGGCAGCAATAGGTAAAGAGGTGTACTTACAAAGAAAATTAAGACTACGTTTTAACACTGGTACCCTGGAAGATGTGTATTAGAGTTCTGTGCAGGGCAAGAATTAGGATAAAAATATATTTATATATATACATATATGGCGCCATTCCCATTTCAAAATGCTTTATTTCATATATTCTGCGACTCCCTTTTTTTTTTTTTCAATTAGCAGTGAAATACAGCCTATGAAGGCCAGTGTCTCAGGTCATTAATGTGATTTTCTCTTAAGCAAATTTTAGATAGAATAAACTAGTGCTTTCATATGTAGTGTTTGTGACCAACCTCTACATAAAAATAGGCTTTCTATTTACTTGTGCTCTGTCACCAAGTCTCTTTTCCTTTTTTAATGGTGATTAAAGCAATATTGAACACTAATCATTCAACTAGAGCTTTAGGTAAGCGATCTGTTTCATAGAAACTAAGGAAGCAGTCTTGAAGCAGAGCAAAGAGCCCACTTTGAGAGTAAGCGTGCTCCCAACCACAGCTCAGGAGCAGCCTGAAGAGTTAAAAATGTATTTCCTTATTAACATATATATTTTTAATGCCTTTGGAACACTTTTTTAATAAAATGTAATTTTTCATAATAAAATTTAAATACATAAGTATAAAAACTATTGCTCCAAGGTTAAAACCAGGAGCTAGAGCCCTCCAGAGAGTAACTCTGATTCTACGAAGTGCGCTAGACGTGTATGTAACATAGAATGAAAGCCCCATTCACATGACATTTTACATTTCTCCTCAATTTATAGTACTCCCAGGTATTTTAAATAATGCATCATATTCAGGAATCTATACTCATGTTTACAATTATTGATAAACAATGCAATCTGAAGTGATAGTTGCCCCTACCAAAGGGAATGAGTTGCCCCATACAAGGCTAATGAGTGCTCGGAAATTCAGAAATATTTTCTTCTTCTTTTCTTTTTTTAAAAGAGATACATACTCTTCTCTAAATTTCCCCCTACCCCTGCCCAGACAGAAGGGGTCCCAGAATAAGGTATTAACAAGTGCTTAACAGATATGTCTTACAGGCTGACGACACAAGCAACCCTTAGGAAAATCTATATGGAACCTTTGATCAGACCCCTGGCTGGCGTGAGGAAGCCCATCACTACCATGTCAGTGAGCACCACATCCTTGGTGCTTTCACACTCATTTGGTGTTTATTTTCCTTTGTTTCCTCTACAAATTCAACTTATTTGTAACATTCCTCCCATTTCCTAAGATTTGTAAAAGTGGGGTTTTACTGTTTTGGGTTGTGTAAAACCTTGTGGAAACTCCTCACATAGCTTTTTAATGTGCTTAATTTTAAGTTCTCCATCCAAACACAGCAGGGAAAGATGGATGTGCACTGAGCAAGAGAGCACAGTGGCAGGATTGCTGTTTTAGAAGTGACGTGATAGGCTTTTACTTTGCCCCCAAAGAGTCCAGTTTTCAGTTCTGGCAACAGTGGAAATTCTCTAGACAAGTTCTGAGGTTTGGCTGTATGTTTTACATCCATCTTCCTGTTGAGGAGTCTGTCACTCTGATGACTGAAGCAGCCTACTCTGGGTTTCACATACTTACTACTGCCCCACAATGGCTCTAAGACTCTGGACTAACTATGGACCAACATATAACATAAGAATGCTGGTACACTGAAGCCATCCTAGGTACGAAAGGTGAAGGACATAAAACAGAACATTTCTGCACTGATCCTGAAGACTGATGCCACACACCGTTAATATAAAGTAAAGATGGTTGAAATGTGGCAAAACAGCCTAAGGGCCAGTGCTAACACAGAACACCCTGCGACCTCTCTCGACTTCTTTTAGATATAGATATTGAAACTCTCTCTCTCTTTGTCATATGCTCACAATATTTTAGCTAGACAACAGCAGTCTTCAAAATATATTGATCTGAAATGATGGTATATTTAAGAAACCACTATAATCTCCCCAAACTGGATTCTAAATTCATTTAAAAAACTTGATCATGAATCCATTTAGTGGCTAGTAAAAAAAATGTAAAACACTTCAATTATTCACACATATTTCATAAGATTTACATTGTACTGCATATTTGCAAAAAAGATGAGCCAAATGTCCAGTGCCCATTGCTACTAGACAAAAATGAAAATTTTAAGGTCTAATAGTAGTTTGAACACAGGACTTGTAGAATTTAGTGATAATAATGGCGCTCCTATATGAAATAAAACTCTGAGACTATGACAACTGGCAGAAAATCAGGAGAAACAGGAAATGTAATTAAACATGAATGGTTTCAAAGCTTATCAAAGAGGCTAGTTCCTATTATTTACTGGCTTCATGAAATCTGATATTATACAAAAGCAGTTTTGTTTGTCTTAAAGTAGGCACTAAAATAAAAATGGTCGTCCAAGGCGGGGTTACACATGCACCTCCCTATCAAACCCATGGCCCAGACAGACACTACTGAAATGCCTGGTGGAAACGGGGCAGGGTGGTGCTTGTGCTTAGGCTGCTGGTAAAAGCCGCGGAGAGTGAGTGCAGAGAACTGAGACCCACGGTGTTCGCAGGATCCTGAAGATCCTGTGTTTGTGTGGGCAGCTGAGAAACAGAAGAATGTGCTTCATCTTGGGAATAGCTCATCCCAAGGCTCCCCACTGAAAGAGGATTATAGGGAGGACCATTTAATGGTATGAAATTGAACAACTGAGAAAAATCCAATGCTGGTGTGTTGAGGGGGTCACTGATAGAAATAGAGCTCTTTGACAGGGAGAGGTCACCTGCACCATCATCTAGGGACCCATTCTGAGGATCTAACCCTAACTTAGATGACGATGCTTGAGAATCCTGGGATGAAGAGGGTGCACCACCTTGTAATTCCATCAGATAACTCTCAATTTCTCCCTTTAATGGCTGTTCTTTTTCAGGAATAGAGATTGCATATGAGGTAGAACTGAATGGGCATTTGAAAGCAAGATGGTGGGAGGGGTGAACAGCATCCATATCTATGGGGCATGTCATTCCCAAAGGTAAAGTTGTGATCATTTGGTGAGCAGACCCAGAGCTCTGCATGGACTGAAATGGAGTGTTATAGAGGTTTAACTGCAAAGTGTTTGTGAACGGCTTTGACAAGAGTTCACTGGAAGGTAAGGACATCACTGGCAGGAGTTCATCTTTTATAGGCACAGACATGTTACAGGTAAATGGGTCCAGGAAATCTACTGGTTCAGTTTTGACCTTCAGAAGCTCTTGATTGTGACTCTTCTTCATATGTCGAGTGAGGTGATCCTTTCGTCCAAATCTCTGTGCACAGTACTGACAGAGGAAGTCCTTTCTTCCCGTGTGCACTACCATGTGTCTCCGGACATCCTTCCGGGTGTAGAACCTGCGCTCACAGTGCTCACACTGGTGCTTTTTCTCTTTCACGCCCCCGGATGACTTGCCTGCATGAGATTTCAGGTGCTCCAGGAGCACACCTGTGCTTTCAAAAGTCTGCAAACACACCTTGCAGGTGAGGTCACCACTGGTTGCAGCGTGCAAGGCCAAGTGTCGCTTAAACCCAAGCTTGGTGTTGTAGCTCTTGCCACACTCTTCGCATTTAAAGGTCTCTTTGTTGGGGTCGTGTGTATGGAGGTGATTCTTCAGGTGGTCTTTCCGGTGAAACATTTTCTCACAATAATTACACTTGTGGGTTTTCTCAGGAGAGTGAGTAGCCATGTGCCTTTAAACATAGATATATTCTGTGAGTGGTTATCTTAGCAAAAAGGTACGTATTCACTTTTCAAACGGGAAGCTAAACTACTAATGCTAATATACAGCTGTCTTAATAAAGGGTATACCTAACTAACACACACCACAGCATAGATAACACACTGCAAAACTTGAGCCATCTAAGTTGCCACTTTAGCGTTGACTGGTTTTTAGCTCTCATTACAAAAGTAAACAGGCAAGACTGAACACATTCATGTAATGTTCACACCCTTTTCATGTAGAAATTTCTCTTCACAAACGGAAATTCTACTCTCATTAAGCATTTTACTTAAAAAAAAAAATCCAAAGACACTAACACAGAAGTATGTGATTTAGAATACTTCAAGCTAGCCAATGTCTAATCTACTTAACATTTCCTCTCTGCAAATCAGCTGAGAAATGTGTATAGAGATACACACACTTACAATGGCTTCAGACGGCCAACACAAGAGAAAGTATAATCTGAAAGACAAATAGAGTGTAGTACCTTTGTAATTTGTACTTAGAAACAAAGGCCTTGGTGCAGTCTTGTTGTGTGCACTTGTAGGGCCTCTCTCCTGTGTGAGAGTAGGAGTGAACCTTTAATTTCTCAACACTGTTAAAGGCCTTGTCACACAGTTGGCAAGGGAAGTTTTTTCTTGGTTTGGTTTCACCACGCTTACGTTTCCCTGAAGGGGCTTTCTGGGTATCTCTTACTTCTGACAAATCACCAGGAATGACAGTGGCCATCGCAGCCTAAACCAGGCCTTCTTGTTGGACACCTGGGAACTGCCCAACTCCACTAAGTGATATAGCTTTAGGTGGCTTCTCAAGTTTCATGTGGTCGTAAAAGAAAGCAAAAAGGGACTGGAAAAAAAAATAAGAAACAACTAGTTTGTAACTAAACTCAATTAAAAAATTATTTGCTTTGTGATGCTTTTGAATTAAAAAAGAAACCATAAAATGGATTCAGCTGGTCCAATGTAATATCTGTAGGTTTCTTTGTATTTTCCAAAACAGATAGATATAAACGCATTGCTCAGAATGAACAGTTAATACATACCCTGAAATTGCACCTGACCAATGCTGGACTTATGCAGAACAGTAGTGAACTCAGGAACTCTCAGAGCATGATTCTAAAGGTGGCACCAGACAGTTTGCTTTTAGAAAACACATCTTACAGCTGAACAACCACAGCACTCTGTGCACATCATTGGTGCACATGGATTACATGAACACATACGCACTTAGAGCACCTGGTACTTTGCAAACCACTGAGTCCAAGGAAGGAAGCACACGAAGCCCAGATACTACAGGAAGAGAAAGCACCACCCGAGTCAAAACTGACCCTTTAAACCAATGCTATAACACTCTAAAGAGTTTCTGAGTCAAGGGTGGAAATGATTCATCTTCATAACAAATATTAAATGGTAAATCCCTTTGATACTATATGAGGTGAAAACTGCAGATCCTTGTCATTTGGGGGAGTATGGTTAGTTTCCCTCAACTGTTTCTACCTCAGAGAGAAGATTATTCTTACTGGGTGCACTAATGTTAATAAGAAGCCAGAGCCATTAGGCGTCCCTAAGAGCTGAAGGAGTCAGCGATCGACACAACTGAACCTGAATGTGGCACACCTGTTGAGAGTTCTCACAGTGCACAACATCTGTGCAAAAATGCATCCTCATAGAGGTGTTTCACTGTTTCAATTCATTATCAGTGCTGTGAGAAAAGACGAAGTATATATGTTGTGTAACAAAGAGTATGTCGTTAAGTTTAAATGAAATAATTAAAACTAAAGAGAAACCTTCATAGATAAGAAATAGTTAATATAATTAACTCTATTTCTCAGAGTAGGAAAATCAACTCCTCAAAGACTTTACTACTATGTAAGTTAAATCAGTGGTTCTCAACCTCCCTAATGCCACGACCCTTTAATACAGTTCCTCATGTTTGGTGACCCCGACCATAAAATTATTTTATTGCCACTGTAGAATTACAATTTTGCTACTACTATGAATTGTAAGGTAAATATCTGATATGTGACACTAGTAGGGTTGCGAGTCACAGGTTGAGAACCACTGAGTTAAAGGTTTCCTCAAGGTTTCTTAAGGTAATTTAGAAGGGTTCTTCCAAGGGACCACAGAATGGTAGCATCTGTCACGTCCTTTAAAAGGATCTGATTATTAAACTTAGTTAAAAGAATTTGTCATTCTCTTGTATATTTTAAAGAAAAGAAACAACTTCCTTATCTCACCTGTGTTTTGGTATTAGATTGACACATGCTTTTACACAATTTGGTGTGTTACACTCACTTTCACAGATTCCAGTTAAATTTTTTCAGGAATTCTAAACACCTACATCTGGTAACACGTAAGTGTCGGTCACATCTTTTTGTACTTTATAGCACAGAGGCTGTCCATAGCAGACTAAGCAGCAGTGAGCCATTATTTTGACTAAAGCAATACAGAATTCAGGCAAGCTAAGCACACATTGTTTCTTCTTTTTAAGACAGATGCAAGCCTTTGCATTGTTGTAAGTATCAGGAAGTTCCTCTTGAAGTTTACAAATGATATTAATATGATGCAACCAGCATCACAATAATGATGCAGCTGTTAGCTCTGATATCACAGCATGGATGCAGTTGTTATGACATCACAGCACTGATGCAGCTGTTAGCTCTGACATCACAGCACGGATGCAGTTGTTATGACATCACAGCACTGATGCAGCTGTTAGCTCTGACATTACAGTATTGATGCAGCTGTTAGCTCTGACATCACAGCACTGATGCAGCTGTTAGCTCTGACATCACAGCATAGATGCAGCTGTTAGCTCTGACATCACAGCACGGACGCAGCTGTTAGTGCTGACATCACAGCATAGATGCAGCTGTTAGTGCTGACATCATAGCACTGATGCAGCTGTTACCTCTGAAATCATAGCATTGATGCAGCTGTTAGCTCTGACATCACAGTATTGATGCAGCTGTTAGCTCTGACATCACAGCACGGACGCAGCTGTTAGTGCTGACATCACAGCATAGATGCAGCTGTTAGTGCTGACATCATAGCACTGATGCAGCTGTTAGCTCTGACATCATAGCATTGATGCAGCTGTTAGCTCTGACATCACAGCACTGATGCAGCTGTTAGTGCTGACATCATAGCACTGATGCAGCTGTTAGCTCTGACATCACAGCACTGATGCAGCTGTTAGCTCTGACATCACAGTATTGATGCAGCTGCTAGCTCTGACATCATAGCATTGATGCAGCTGTTAGATGACATCACAGCACTGATGCAGTTGTTATGACATCATAGCACTGATGCAGCTGTTAGCTCTGACATCATAGCACTGATGCAGCTGTTAGCTCTGACATCACAGTATTGATGCAGCTGTTAGCTCTGACATCACAGCACTGATGCAGCTGTTAGCTCTGACATCATAGTATTGATGCAGCTGTTAGCTCTGACATCATAGTATTGATGCAGCTGTTAGCTCTGACATCACAGCACTGATGCAGCTGTTAGCTCTGACATCATAGTATTGATGCAGCTGTTAGCTCTGACATCACAGTATTGATGCAGCTGTTCGCTCTGACACAGTATTGATGCAGCTATTAGCTATGGCTGTGGATTTTCTGAAGTTCAAAGACATGTTCTTTTCCTGTTATGAGCTCCATTCAAAGGACAGATGCTTTCCCTTCCTCCACATTAGATGTAAATAGCTACTCTGCAGACTAGTAATGACAGTAAATTAGTATAAAGCTTTAATTTTCATTGTGATTTCCTCACTTGATGCTTTCACAGACCTATGAAACTATGAGACTATGAACAAGTCAATCATTTTCCAACTGCAGAATCAAAAGGGAATGCAAAGTGTCTAACTAGGTCTGAAAACTGGTCATAATTACCACTGTAACAAGACAGTTGTGATGCTGAGAATTCCAAAAGAGAAAAGTAACTTTAATGTAACCCCTCCCTGCCAAAACATTAAAAGGGCACCATGAAACAACACACAAGCATTATCATATTAAATTGATGATACTCAATATGAAGTAACAAATGGATGTTTCTAGATGTACATACTGAGCAATGAGGAATTGCACTGATACCAAATATTACACTTTTCTAAGACCAGCTGAAAATTTTCATGGCTGATAATGCTTTTATATTTTAATCCATTAAAAAATTCAAATTACTTATCATAGGTACATTTAAAATTTTAGGATAAATATAAAGTTGTGAACTTAGTATCAAATAGAAATTATATTAATAATATGTTTATCAACCAAATACTTTAAAGGCACATGCATAGAACTAGTGATTTTTGTTCAATGCATACCTGATTAAGGATGGAAAAAGCCTCAGACTTTGATCTTAGCCAGTTCCATTAACTCTTCGTGGAAGAGAGCAGAATCCAGCCCTTCCCATTTTGGCCAATCTATGAAGAAGTAAAAAAATGAATGGATTCTAATATAAATGAAACTAGAGTATAAAGGACAGGAAACAAAGCATGAACGAACTGCAATTTCATATAGCGCATGCTCCATTCCACGCTGCTGAGTCGTGCATTAATTCCCACCAACTGCTTGTTTTGATTAGTTGTAAGCACACTTTACATGACCAAATAAATGCATAAATTAAAAAAATAGTATTACCTAGAAAAAAATGCCAATTTGTGATGCTGAATGATTCCCCACTTGTTAATAAAAAAGAAATCTAACCAAAAGAAATGGCTATTAAGGTTACTGACTGTAAACAAGACTGGTGAAGACTCACTAAGCTTAATATAATGGAAGACACAAACTCAGTTTCTTCTGGGAAAGTGCCTCTGGAGACCTGATCTCAGCACTGCCACCCACACTGCCCACACTTGTGACTACGGCTTCTTAGAATCACATTTCTATTTGCAGAACTGCCAATTTAAACTAAAGAATGGTGTAAAGATGGCTGGAATGTAGCAACCACTCTGCTGTTCAGGTTCCAGGTACATATGAGTGAAGTTAAATATAGGTTTTCTATATGAGGCAGGTATCAGGGAAAAGGCAGTATTTGTTGCATAAGACCACTGTTGAAAAACCTTAAGATATCTTAAAGATGCCTGTTAGTAGCAAGGACTGACAGCACAGATACAAACTGTGTTAATAGCTATGAATGAAAGAAAAGGCAAGAATAACAATGGTATAAAGTAAAAAAGACTTCCATTTATTTAAAGAATATAAGGCAAAGGTGGTTAGTAAGCTGTGATTATTTTTAATTAAGTACACAGAAGTATTAATTAGAAGAATTTGAGAGGGATAATAAAAATCAAATACTTAAAAACCAGTAACAAAAGGATGTGTCAATGACAGGTTAGGTTAAAAAATTTTTAAAGTTGTATAACAATCTAATAATATTTCTTAAAATCCTCACATACTTTCAGAATTTCATGATATGTAAAGATGATATACAAAGAAAATATTTAATAGAGGACATTCAAGCATCATTACAAAATTACTAAGGGTATATAAGAAACCAGTATTATCTTCATTATTTAAACAAAAAATAAATTTTTAGACAAATAAAGGTATCTATAATAGTTCAAGCAAAAGCCCCATTTTTATAAGGCATAGGACATGCATAAGTAAAAGAACATCAAAATTGCAAAATAGCAAAATTAGTTTTGTCAATACTTACTTGCCCAGGACACACATTGAATATTTGGTGTGGTACTTATGAATATAAAAGATCATTTTATGTACTATAATCTGAATGATGTAAATACTTTTTAAATAGTCTTTTCATCTTTATCCTGTCCCTGCAATCAATGACCCAAGATGCATACATCTATCACCATTGCTACTGAACCATGTGATGGTGTCTGTATGGTCAGACTCCTATTCTACTGTGATCTTTGATAGGGCAAGACAGTAAGCCTGCCTGCATGTGGATACATCCTGTCATTATACTTAAGAGTTCAGAAAGGTCAGTGCTACCTTTTTTCTATGAGAACTGCCAAATAAAATCTCTAAAAGGATGAATTAATAAAAAAAATTAAAAGACAATTTGCAAGGTAAAATTTTAAGTACTTTAATTAATCATTAAAATAATTAGCATTTCTGAGTGCATGATTTGAGTAGAATTAAATCTAAAACCAAAGTTGACTAGCAAATAATAAATCTGTGTACTTTTTGTTATAAATTTTACTGCCTTCTAAACATTTTCATAAAATTCTAGCTATGCTTAATTGTGCAGTGGCATTTTATAACAGAAATGCTTTAGTGGCTAAGTATTTCAAACAGTCCACAAATATAATTGTCTACAAACTACCTCCATTATATATATCTTATATCCAGAAATAAAATTATAAATAAAGTTACTGGGGTAATTTAGTTTATCTTAAAATATAACTCCTAAGTTTAGTTAATTTCTCTAAATTTTACCCTACTTTGAATTTTTATTAGTTGCCAAATAATTTCAAAGAACTGCTCATTATTTTCTCAAACAAAGGAAATCAAGAGTTGATTAGAATTACTGGACAGAATAAACATAAAAAACAAATACAGCTTATATATTTATGCACTCCTAACTAAAATGTTAACTAAACTGATCTGTGTATTCTCTTTTATGGGCCCAAGGGGTGGAAAAGTAGTAGTATTACTGCTCTAAAAAGTCTGTAAACAAAAAAACCCCCTTATAATCATGTTTTTTTTTCTAGTTAGAATAATTTATCAAAGATTAGTTGCATTATTTGAAATGATGAAAATTCCTCTTTGCCTTTGTCTGAGGAATTGTAAAAGAAGGTGGAGAATACATATCTACCCATGCTATGCTGGGTAGTGAAACATTTCAGAACACACCCTCAGCCTCAGCCAACACACTTCCTCTACCCCCTCCAAAGGTGATTCTGCATTCAATAGTAGCAGTAGTGAGGGGAAAGATTATATGCTTGGGCACAAAGGTTCATCTTCTTATGTTTTATTTTATTCGTAGGAAACAGTGGCTCATGAAGAAAAATAAGAAGCAAACAAATCATACATCAAAGGGCTTACTAAAATTGACTTCTATGAGATGTCGAAACAGTTTTTGCATTTTAAATCCCATGGTTCTGAGAGTTGCTTTGTTAAAAGTTATGAAGCTTGAGCAACACTTACCTGCATTAATACTTTTTTCATTTAAAAAAGTCAAGTAGATTTTGCTAAGAGCAGATGCTATTAGTCATCAAAGTTTTGCTCCCACTTATACTAATCATAACAAACCATTAGTTCACAATTCAGAAAGATGTCAACATGTGCTTAAAACATTTTCCATAAGGAATAAATAGGGTAGGTCACAGCAGGAAACTTGGTAGTGTTAAAACTTTATACGTATGAAACACTAATAAAATCTTAAATAATATGAAGGAGATGAACTAGATTACACAACTGAATACAATTTTGAAGGAGGCATACCACTGTATTTGGAACATTGCTTCAAAACGTCATTAATCCTGTATAACTTGGAAATTTTTATCAGTCAGCTTTCAGTCTACAGAGTCCCTTGCTAGTGAAGAATAAAAACGATCTTGCAATTACAAAGACTTAAGACAGGGTAATGGGGTGAGTATGATCAAAATGCATTCTATACGTATATTAAACTGTCAAAAAATTTAAAATTAAAAAGAGAAAACAAATGCAAAAATCAATCAAACAAACAAAAAAGACCTTCAGAGAATGAACAATCAACTGTAGGCAGCTCGGGGCAGGGTCAGGCCAGTTTTATTCACTGCGTTTCCCATAAATGACAGTAAAGTAACTGTTGAATGAACAAGAAAGATTAAAACAGGGTAAGTGCTTACCACTAACATAACGACCTGAAGGCTTGCTCATCATCATAGCAGACAGAAGACAGCAAATACATATTCCAGTCCAAGATAAATACTAGCATTTATAATAATTTAAAAGCTGCTCAAAACATTCATTTTGCCAGCATGATCTGACTGATGATATTCTTACAGAACTAACTGGCATGTGCAGACAGCATCAATCCAGTCCCACTCTTAATAAAAATTCCTAGAGTGAAAACATGCCTGGTACCTGTGCTACCTGGCCTGAAGCAGAAAAGATGGTGAGACACTTGGGTGGAGTTAATTATATCTACAGAGAACAGAGGAGCAAAGAGCCCTGCAAAGCAGGAAGCATAGCTAAGATACGTATTTAACTCACCTGAATTCTGGGTTCTCAAGAACTTAGCACTGAGACTTGAGCAAAATCACAGTACTTATTCTACTACATTAGGTAACAGTTAATAATCAGTAAAATTGAGGATGCCTTTTGAAAATTTTCTACATTTGATTTTTTTGAGTAATTTGTTAAAATGTGGCCGGGCGGTGGTGGTGCACGCCTTTAATCCCAGCACTCGGAGGCAGAGCCAGGCGGATCACTATGAGTTAGAGGCCAGCCTGGGCTATAGAGTGAGTTCCAGGAAAGGCACAAAGCTACACAGAGAAACCCTGTCTTGAAAAACCAAAAAAAGAAAAGTTAAAATGTAGTTCTGTGATAATCTTTTTCAACTCTACCACAAAATTAGCCCTCATTATATCTAGAAGCATCTTATATTTAATATAGAGCAAAAACTTAGAGAAGTGAAGGAAATGGCTTATCTTTTTGTTTTTTAAGGACAGGCAGGGAAATGTCCAGGTTTCAAACTTGGCACCCCAAAGTCCCCAGGAACTCTACCACTAGTCTTCAATGCTTGCTTTCTGCTTACACATGCTCTAGAGGGCCCACACAGAACACCAGCCATCCAGGAACATGGGGAAGTCAAACAAATGTGATTTTTAACTCACAAATACTTGTCTTAGTTATTTATATTATGGAGCAAAAAGCCCACTGAATTAAAGAGGATTAATGGGCTGTAACACAGGATCAGCATGTATGTCTTATGTGCATGGGAGATCCTCTATGACTGTACATCTTTATGAAAATGAAAACCAAGACACACAGAGTATACTAGGCATTTCTCACTTTGTGTAGGAAAATTAGTACTTGCAAACAGGAAACAAAAGAATTATGAAAGAAGAAGTGGTAACGGAGAACAGGAGGAGCAGATAACTGCAATTATAACAATGCAAAGAAAGAGTGTTTAATCAATACTAGTAACTATTTTTAAGAGGATTTTCTGGGCTTCTAAAAATGCACGAAACATTTCCATATTTGCCAGGCAGCTACACTAGAAAGGAGGTGACCCACAGGTCACTCTCCTGATGTGATGAGCTCACTCTTACCACCACTAACTGCATGAGTTGCTGGGGTGGGTACTGATCAACTACCATTCAACACACTGATGTCCTTAAACATTTAGAGTATGCTGTCCAGAATGAGTAGTTACCTAATGCAATTCAAATCCCAGAAACAGAACCCAGGTTTCATATCCGAACTCTCAGGCACTCACACCAAATCTGGAGATAAGCTCAGGAAAATGTGGCAGTCAGATGGAATGTAAGAAAAGTGCTAAGTAAAATCTTATTTACAAAAGTTCATGTGGAAAATCAGTTTTAAGCTATCTCAAAGTAGCATGTACTGTAAATGTAGGCTTGTGCTGTATGAAGAGGTATAAATACTGTCCAAGCTGCATGCTGATGCTCAAGGAACAGGAAAAATTCATGGACACAGAACCCAGTCCTCAGGGAAAGCTCTGCACCTGCCACCTGCCTGTCGACCATGTGCTACACTGTGTGACTATCAAGGTTAAAAGTCACATCTAGAAACAAGACTTCTCTTTATTCCCACAACTCTGAGGTAAACAGGATTAGTTTTAGGGAACATTGTCAAGAGACCTAGCCAGTGTCCTATCATGCTATAGTCATCTGATAAATTTTATTAATTTGGGTTTCTTGTGTGACAGGGTTTCTCGAACTCACAGAGATACACCTGCCTCTGCTGGATTAAAGGTGTGTGCCACTATTACCTGGCTCTATCTGATAAATATTTGTTGAGAAGAACTGTAGTCCCTGGTAATGAGACTTCAAGAATCAGAGCAACCAGGCAAGCATGTTGTGAGCTCTGGAAACATCAACCAGTTGTAAAGCAGGACCAGAGAGAACCTAATGCGGTTAAATGGTTAGTGTGCTCTGGCAGAAGGGATGGCTTGATGTGCCCAGGATGGGTATAGGCCATTGGAGAGCCATACTGCTTCTGCATCCCAGCAGGTGGCCCTGATGCAACAAAGTGAAAGCGGAGGACTCAGGCACATGCTATTCAGACTAGACAGGCTTGGAGATTAAATGGTGGGCATTCCAGAATCTGTCCTCACATGTTCTGTCCTAGTAACCCCATAAGCACATGTGCCCTGTACTGATCATGATGCACTGTTTGGAAATAAACGAGAGTCTTACAGTAAGAAAAATTATTTAAAGCAAAATTCCAAATCCTTTACAAAGAATAATCTTCATGTAAGGTTAAGATGTGAGAATGACGATGGGAGGCCAGCTCCCACCTTTTCCAGGGTTTCTATGAGGAGGAGAGGGGGATAAGAAAATATTAGGTAGAAAGAGACCTAGACGATGAGAGGAAGACAGAAATACAGGATAGCTTTGGGAGGACCTGGGTCAGTACCCAACGGCCTCTTCTGCCTCTTCAAAAGGGCTTTTTATAACAATGCCAAAGGTCGGGCCTAAGGACCTCCCCATTACTAGATCAAAGCACACCGCACAGCAAGTGTAGACCCTTCCAAACACCTGGCAACCATGCCCATGATCAAATTATCCCCTTATGCAGTCCTGCTGGGTAAAGCAAGCTCAGATTCTTGGACCCTGAGTAAGTTCTCACTAGGAAACCTCTGTGGGTCTCTACAGATGACACTGAAAATATCAGAGAAAAAAAAATTAACTGATTACAACACAGGAAAGTAAAAAAAAGTAAAATTTGCATGGAGTGTGGTTCAGAAAAATTAAGTATTTTTCTTTTTTCTAGATACTAAAAATACTACACTAATTGGACTTAGTGGGTTAAAATAACAAATAATTCTAAAAGGAGGACATGAGTTAGGGAGGGAGATGTGATTCAAAGTCCTAGGGGGAACTGGAATTGGGGGTGGTAGGTGGATATGATACATTGTGTACATGTACAAAATTTTCAAAAAATAAAAACGAAAAAGCCCCTATCATTACCAATAAAAACTAAAAATACCTTATTAATAAGTTTAAGAGATAACCCCACAAAACTAAAATAATTATTAACAATTTTATTAAAAATAGCTGCAGTGTAGAGATGGCTAAAATTTTATGCTACCTCAATCTTAAGTGTTTATTCTCCATAGAATGTTGTTCTTATTAAGATTAATGCTTCTTTAATTTGATTGTTAATTCTTCTCATGTTCCTGAAAGGCTCTGTTTAGTTCTTAGCCCACGGCCCAGTTTCCCCAGGGGGCAGGTCAGCCATAGATGACCAGCTTAGGAGTTTGAGCCCGTTGAGTAGTCACTTTTGTCTTTTCCAGGCTCCTTACCTTGGAGCTATGGGGTCCTGGCCTCTAAACTACAGCCTTGTGCTTAAGGTCCTGCTGACAGACTTACCTGGCTCAAATCCATTTGTGCTTGGGTTTCCAAATATTGCTATACCTTGATTCTGTGCCACTGAGGTATAACTACAGTTGGGAAATCTAGATACTTTCATGTGTCCTCTTCCCAACAATGGTAGGAAGTAGCTCTGGTCACACTGGGCTCTGTACTCTAGCAGCTGCTCCATTCTGGGGAGCAGACCTAATCTGCGTCTCCACCTGCCCACAGTTTATAAGAGCTTCTCAGGAGATGGAATGCACAGTGTTTCTGCAGGGTAGTTTACTCATCTGTGGGCTCTCTGAGAGAAGAAACAATCATGTTGTACAGAGGCAATGCATTCTGAAGCAAGAAAGTTGTTCTTTGCCTTGTATTTACCACAGGTTTACTGAAGTCCTGCAGATCACAATGTATACTGTAAGCCCTAAGATCCTAAGTGGCATGCTTATTATGTGGCATGCTTTTCAAAGCTTTTACTATTAGCTTACTTAATTAAGGACAGGAAATAAATGATGACTTTGAAAATCATGCCATATAATGATAAAAGCCACCTACCTGAGGCCCTGTTCCAAACTCTAGCAAGGCCACCTTATTAATAGACCATCATAGAGTGAAGCATTCTGGGTGCCCAATCCCACCAAGGCAGCACCGAGAGGCAACCTAGGAAGAAAAGAAGAATTAGTTTGAAATTTCAAAGGTCAGGCTCATCTGGTTAATGGCATACGAACCAGATTATTTTTCTTTCATTATCACTTATTCTTTGTACTTTATTGTGGGGGAGGATCAATCTTAAATCCTGCTAGAAGCAAATGTAAAACAAAAAATATACTGGAAAGTAAAAAGTAAACAAATGAGTATCTACAACTTATTTAGTTACCTTTGAACCACAGTTATCTAGATTATTTGTGTTTCATTCAGCTATAAGTTTGCTGGTAGTTTTCAAATTAATCATGTATTTTCTTTTTATATTCTGAAGATATCCACTCTTCTCCATAACTTTGTCAAAAACCTTTTGTCACGCCTTTCTTGTTGTGAGCACAGACTAAGGAAGAATCATGTCCCGTGAGTGAGCTTACAAAGGGTACAGACTGCTGATGGCCAGGGGTGGAGGCAGAGCAAAGATACACGCTCCTTCCTCAGGCCAGACCCTCCTTCAACAATATAGGGAGAAAAATAAAGTACACCACCTGTGCAGTCAGCCTTGGTAAGTCATAATTGCAAATGATGAAGACAGACAGACCTCTAGGAGCATAATCAAGACAGAAAAGGGAGGCCCCAAATTCTACATAGAAAATCATCTGCTTCCTATCTGGAAATAAGAGCCAATGCCCAGTTCTACAGTTGCCACTCCATTAAGATGAGTATTTGACACTGATGTAGTAAATATTACCAACACCCATTATACACAGTACTGATCTGATCTACCTGGGTACTAACAGACATGATCTCTGTTCTGTAGGAGTGTGCTGTGGGATGGTCTGTATGTCAAATGTGTTGCTGATTGGTCAATAAATAAATCACTGATTGGTCAGTGGCCAGGCAGGAAGTATAGGCGGGACAAGGAGGAGAATAAAGCTGGGAAGTGGAAGGCTGAGTCAGAGAGACACTGCCAGCCGCCATGATGAGAAACAGCATGTAAAGATACCGGTAAGCCACGAGCCATGTGGCAAGGTATAGATTAATAAAAATGGATTAATTTAAGCTGTAAGAACAGTTAACAAGAAGCCTGCCACGGCCATACAGTTTGTAATCAATATAAGTCTCTGTGTTTACTTGATCGGGTTTGAGCGGCTTGGGACTGTCGGGTGAGAGAGATTTGCCCTGACTGTGGGTCAGGCAGGAAAACTCTAGCAACAGGAGTGTGCAAACTGCCATGAGGTGGCACTGGTGAGATCAGTGAGAAACAATAGTATATAGTACAAGTGCCACAGGAAGTCCCAGGAAGAAAAGAATACTACTCATTTTTTCATGACTTGCCTTGAAGAATGCTCCCTTAAGAACCATAGCCCCGCCTCCCGCCCCCCAAAAAAGTATGTGCATTTGGGGACTGACAGGTTGGAACCATCAGTCACTGGATTCTAAGATGACCTCTGATTGTAGTGTAATGTTGCTTACACATTTTCCAAGGACTGAAACAAGCACAGTGAAGCTCCAATGCTGTGGATATGTCCACATGCATATACTAATGAAAGAATCAGGGACTTTGGAAAAACGTGGACACAATGGAAGCACTAAGAATAACAAATACTTGGGAAGGCAGGAGGAGAGGGTGTTCTCTTGAATGAAAGCTGTGACCAGAGTAGCAGCTCAAAGACAAGGTGACAACCAGCAAAAAGGTCATTCCCCAGAAGAAAGACTACTTCTGTGTCAGCATTATCAAAGCAGTAAGGTAAGTAAGAGGGGAATCCAAGTAGTGCAGCCTGCACTCAGACACAGTCAACCAACCGGACACCAAAGGCTACCAAGGCAGGGCAGCCTGCACTCAGACACAGTCAACCAACCGGACACCAAAGGCTACCAAGGTAGTGCAGCCTGCACTCAGACACAATCAACCAACCGGACACCAAAGGCTACCAAGGTAGTGCAGCCTGCACTCAGACACAGTCAACCAACCGGACACCAAAGGCTACCAAGGTAGGGCAGCCTGCACTCAGACACAGTCAACCAACCGGACACCAAAGGCTACCAAGGCAGGGCAGCCTGCACTCAGACACAGTCAACCAACCGGACACCAAAGGCTACCACTAGGAGATAAAAACCACAGAATTTCACAAGGAAGAAAGGAAAAGGTGGTAAAACTAGAAAATGGCGGCACTCAGAGCTATAGAACAACTCAAACATTGTCCAGCAATAGCCATTTGGGGAGAAGGACACTAACGTTAGCAATAAGAAATAAGGGCAGCAGGGGAGGGAGGTAAAGAATGAGACGAGGGGCAGCCAGGAAGCATAAAAGGAGACTGGCTGCTTGGTGGGGAAGGGCTTCCAGGAAGACGAGGCTTTCTTTCACAGCATTTAAGAACAAAAGAGAGAGGAAGAGTGGAGGAGATAGGGCAGGAAGGGAGGGGAAAGAGGAGAGAAGAGAGGGAAAAGAAGAAAAAGGAAGGGGAGAGGGGCAAGAAGGGTGAGGAAGGAGGAGGGAGAAGGGGAGAGGAAACTAAAGGGAGGAAGATGTTTTAGCTCCTTTCTATTGCTATGATAAACTACCTTGACAGTATAACTTAAGGCTAGTTTATTCTAGGTCATAGTTTGAAGGTACAGTCCATCCCATGGGGGTGTCATGGCAGCAGGAGCTGGAAAAGGTTGGTCCCACTGCACCCCCAGGGAGGAGGCAGTTCGCCATGCATGCTGTACATACATTCCTGCTCTTTACATACTCTGGTACCCAAGCAACATGATTCCTCATGTGCCCAGAGGGTAGATAATCCTCACAGGTGTGCCCGGAGGGTAGATAACCCCTCACAGGTGTGCCCGGAGGGTGGTAGATAACCCCTCACAGGTGTGCCCAGAGGGTGGTAGATAACCCCTCACAGGTGTGCCCAGAGGGTGGTAGATAACCCCTCACAGGTGTGCCCAGAGGGTGGTAGATAACCCCTCACAGGTGTGCCCGGAGGGTAGATAACCCCTCACAGGTGTGCCCAGAGGGTGGTAGATAACCCCTCACAGGTGTGCCCCATGCTTGTCTCCTGGGTGATTCAGTGTGCCCAGAGGGTAGTAGATAACCCCTCACAGGTGTGCCCGGAGGGTAGTAGATAACCCCTCACAGGTGTGCTCGGAGGGTGGTAGATAACCCCTCACAGGTGTGCCCAGAGGGTGGTAGATAACCCCTCACAGGTGTGCTCGGAGGGTGGTAGATAACCCCTCACAGGTGTGCCCAGAGGGTGGTAGATAACCCCTCACAGGTGTGCCCCATGCTTGTCTCCTGGGTGATTCAGGTCTTGTTAATAACCAACACTAACCATTCCAGAAGGGGAAGAGAGGGAGGAAAAGGAGGAAGAGAATCAGCAAAAAGATCAGGAGGCTGGGTGTGTGTCTGAATGTGATCAAAATATAGGGAAGGAGTTGTGGAAAGAGAATGGGAGAAGACCAGCAGGTACCGGTTTGGAGTAAGAAAACTGGCTTCTCTATACTGACATGGGGGTATATATGTCCATCTGCAGAGCTTTTCTTGTCCCAGAAGAAAGAAATTCAGTTTCCTCATGTTGGCCAGGGCTGAACAGAAGGGTCCTGTTTGTAGCTTAATAAAGAACAAGGTAGTAGACAGAGGAAGAACAGGGCGAGCCAGGACATCCTCCAGTTTTATAAAACAATATACAGAACTTGGTACAAAGGACTCAATCTCTTAGTTACTGCTGGTGGAAGACTAAATTGTTGAATCTTTCTTGGAATACACGTGGAAATAAATAAAGTTCTTTAAGATACATACAATAGACTTGATGTAGCCAAATACATAGATTTGATAAACTATTTTGAAAGTTAACATGCTCTCTCTCTCTCTCTCTCTCTCTCTCTCTCTCTCTCTCTCTCTCTCTCTCTCGGACTTAAGCATAGAGTCAAAGTACATTTTAAGAATAAAATTGATAATGTTTAATAAAATGGATGGAAGTCAGTGTACATGTGACAGAATAAATATGCAGTTATTAAAACCTACCAAGTTTAAGATCATGAAATTACATGGAAAAAAGCAGCTAAAGATTGAATATATTAGGTCACATGGGAAAACATAAAAATGTTAACTTTTAATATTTATTTTTATTATTTTTAAGCGTGTGTGGTGTGTGTGTGTGTGTGTGTGTGTGTGTGTGTGTGTGTGTGTGTGTGTGTACAAGTGTCCTCAGAGGCCAGAGCGAGGCTCCCTGCTTGAGCCAGAGTTACTACTAGTAGTTGTTAGCTGCCCAATGTGGGTGCTGGAAATTTAACTCAGGTCCTCTATAAGAGCAATATGGCTTCTTGACCTCCAAGGCATCTTTCCAGCTACCTTATCCCACTCAGACCCATTCATGTACTTAGGTAACTTATAAATAAAAGACTGGTAAGATAAAGACTGAATATTCTTCTATATTACCAAAATGTCTTATTTTTATAATTAGAATATTTTATTTTTACCAAAAACTATGTTTTCAACAAATGCCACTGGAAAAGTTAATGTCCATATACCAAAAAATGAACTGAGTCATACTTTAAACCATATACAGAACTATACTCTGGGCTGGATCACAGACTGAAATATAAGATTTAGTCTCTGTAAACCCGTTATAAAAGTTTTAGAAGAAAATATTAGAAATAAAACTATCTGTGAAGAGGAGGAAATTGTCAACATCAACAAAAGCACAACCCTTAAAACAGCAAATTGATAAAGTGGATTTCAGCAAAACTTAAAAATGATCTTCAAAAGACATCACCAAGAATAGGAAAAGCTAGGGAGCTAGAGGACAAACAGAAACTTTATGGAGTGTCTGTCTGATACAAAAAGAACTTCCAAAACTCAACAAGATGGTAATAATTCAATTAAAAACGAATAATAATAATAATAAAAAAAGCCAGGTGGTGGT